TTTTAAAAATCAAAAAAGTAAATTTAGTTTAAGTATATATCTCTGAGCGTTGTACTACAACGAATTTCTTTGAAGTATACTCAAAACGTCTAAAATATTGAAAAAAAAAAACAAAAAAAAAACAAAAAAAAAATTAAAAGATATACAATCGAATAGAACGATGGGACGAATGTTGTTTTTTTTTGCATCTATATAATAATTGCCCTTATAATACTAAAAAGATTCATTAATACGATAACCGTTTTTGCACTATCCAACCGAATCAGATAATTATAAAAATCTGATAGATATACACTCGCAAATACAGCATTATTTCGATCCAGCACGGTTACGAAGAAAAAAAATATAATTCATTGTATTTCTCTCCCAATATATCTCCCACCTACCACCTACCCCCTACCCCCGTTCGCGCGCACGCGTGCACGCTCTCATCCTCTCTTCTAACTAGCTTAGTTTTCCATATATTAACACCAAGCTTCTCACAAAAATATGTTTTTGTTTTTTCATACATACAGTAGTATGGCAAGACTCTTAAATCAGGCTTCTAATCTAAGTTCTCTTACTGAAATTATAGTTTATGTATGCACTTCAAAACCCATACTATTATTATTATTATTATTATAGTGTGTTAACGTGTCTGTTTTCTCGATCCTTGCTCGTATATCACATTTATTCATGCTATATAAAATACGATCTAAAGAGAAAGTGTTGAACGGAATTCTGGACATCCTTCAAATGTTTTTCTTTCTTTCATTCTTTGCTTTTCTTTTTTCTTTTCTTCGTTGCGCCCAAGCATAGTAGTCGTGGATGCAAGAATTTTTGGTTGTAACGTTAAATATATAATCATCCGCATGAACGAATGAATATTAATTAATCGTCGTTTTTATATAAAGGATGCAAGAAGCAGAACATCGTTTAGAATCACTTTTTAAATGAAATGTATGTAGAAAACTCACTATGTCCGAGCCACATGAAATCGTTGTAACTCTGTTCGAGGAGACAATCGTGTAGCGTCATAATGTTACCTCTTAGTCGAGGTCTTCCCCTGCTCTCAGAAATCTTTAACGTGTCCTAGAAAGCCGAGCTCGTGCGTCTGATAATGGCTGGGTGTAGCAAGCGGAGTAACGTTCGATTGGTGCGCCACATTGACTGCGGCCAAGTGATGGTGATGCAAAGTATGATGCGAAGTATGAGTATGAAGAATGTTGTTTGGATGGGGAACTTGGAAGTTCCCTGGTGGCGGGGCTCAGGATAGGAGAGGACCCGGATGCCCGCCTGGAAGAACGGACGATGCTGAAACGGTTGTCGTTTGCATACTGGATACATTATTCTGCTGTTGATTTTGTTGAGTACCTAAAATAAAAACACAAATATCATTCTAACAAACGAATAAAACCCTATTAACCTGTTCTTTGTAGAGAGAGAGAGAGAGAGAGAGAGAGAGA